ACTGCCTCTCCAACCCGAGCTGGCCAAGAAAGGGTCCTCTTAGAAGGGCCATTTTAAAATTACCAGAGATTGGCCAGCACTGTGGCATAGCAGGTATAAGCCACTGCCTGCAGTGCCGGCATCCCACATGGGCACCAGTTCAAGTCCCGGCTGTTCCACTTCCGATCTAGCTCTCTGCTAAGCCTGGGAAAGCAGTAGAAGATGGCCCAAGTCCTTGACCCCTGCACCTGCATGAGAGACCTGGAAGAAGCTCCTGGCTCTTGGCTTCGGATCGGCCCAGTTCCAGCTATTGTGACCATTTGAGAAGTGAATGAATGGAAGACACCTCTCTCTCTCTCTCTCTCCCTCTGCCTCTGCCTCTCTCGTAGCCCTGCCTTTCAGATAAATAAATCTTTTTTAAAAATTACCAGAGATCCTCAAAAAGTTTGTAGAAAATGTATATTTTGAAAAAGCTGCCGGCGCCGCGGCTCAATAGGCTAATCCTCCGCCTAGCGGTGCCGGCACACCGGGTTCTAGTCCCGGTCGGGGCGCCGGATTCTGTCCCGGTTGCCCCTCTTCCAGGCCAGCTCTCTGCTGTGGCCAGGGAGTGCAGTGGAGGATGGCCCAGGTGCTTGGGCCCTGCACCCCATGGGAGACCAGGAAAAGCACCTGGCTCCTGACTCCTGCCATCGGATCAGCGCGGTGCGCCGGCTGCAGCGCGCCGGCCGCGGCGGCCATTGGAGGGTGAACCAACGGCAAAAGGAAGACCTTTCTCTCTGTCTCTCTCTCTCACTGTCCACTCTGCCTGTCAAAAAATAAAAAAAAAAAAGAAAAAAGAAAAAGCTATGCATGGATTTCGTAGAGGGTGACCCCGGGGAATTCGCTGGAGATAAAAATGTAGACTCCCCAAATCTGCCCAGAGATGCAGACCACCTACTTGGAACCTTAGGAAGCTCATTCTGGGGCCGGCATTGTGGCATAGGGTGTTGAGCCACTGCCTGCGACTCTGGCATTCATTATGTGTGCGAGTTTGAGTCCTGGCTGCTTCACTTCCAACCCAGCTCCATGCTAATGCGCCTGGGAAGGCAGTGGAAGATGGCCCATGTGCTTGGGCCCCTGCACCCACAAGGGAGACCCAGACGGAGTTTCAGGCTCCTGACTTCGACCTGGTGCAGGTCATTGCAGCCACTGTTGGAACAAACCATTGAACGGAAGATCTTTTTCTGTCTCTCTGTCTCAACTCTGCCTTTGAAACTAAAATAAATAAATCTTAGAAAGGGAGAAAGGCCGGCGCCGTGGCTCACTAGGCTAATCCTCCACCTAGCGGCGCCGGCATACCAGGTTCTAGTCCCGGTCGGGGCGCCGGATTCTTTCCCGGTTGCCCCTCTTCCAGGCCAGCTCTCTGCTGTGGCCCAGGAAGGCCCTGCACCCCATGGGAGACCAGGAGAAGCACCTGGCTCCTGCCTTCGGATAAGCGCGGTGTGCCGGCCACAGCACGCCAGCCGTGGCGGCCATTGGAAGGTGAACCAACGGCAAAGGAAGACCTTTCTCTCTGTCTCTCTCTCTCACTGTCCACTCTGCCTGTCAAAAAAAAAAAGGGGGGGGGTGTGGGGAAACAAACTCATCCTAACTTTTTTCAGAAAGAAATATTGCAGTTAGAAGTACGTCTCTTGGGGGTTGTAGGCCGTATTGTAATGGACAGCCTCTGGCCGCGTTGCCTGCTGCTCCCTCGCATGCACATGGCAACCGTCACCCTAAGAAGGTGCTGCAGCTGCAGGTGAACCCCTCAGGTGATGCTCTGTGCTGTGGCCGCTGTCCGTGCCAGCCTGGCTTGCCTGTGCATGGCTTCCTTGCACAGCACTCTGCTCCTCTCTCCTCTGATGGATTCTTTCACTGCCCGTGCTGCAGGCCTCACTCAGTCACCTCCCACAACAAACTCCACATTTTTTACAGCAAAATAACCTTATCTTTCAATTCCATTTTCTATGAATTTTTTAAGTTCCTTCATATTCTCTCCATGCACTCTTCTTGATTGATATATAAATATATATTAAGATTTATATTTTTGAGAGGTAGAGTTACAGACAGAGAGAGGGAAAGGCAGAGAGAAAGGTCTTCCATCCGCGGGTTCACTCCTCATATGGCCACAATGGCTGGAGCTGGGCCGATCCGAAGCCAGGAGCCAGGAGCTTCTTCTGGGTCTCCCATGTGGGCGTAGGGGCCCAAGGACTTGTGCCATCTTCCGCTGCTTTCCCAGGCCATAGCAGAGAGTTGGATCAGAAAAGGAGAAGCTGGGACTCGAACCAACGCCCATATGGGATGCCAGCACTGCAGGTGGAAGCTTAGCCTACATCACAACGCCGGCTCCATTTCTTGATATTTTAGCTTCTCCCTCTGGCTGGTGCCAGTATCAGGAAAGCCATACTTAGACACTGAACGTGTAGGTTCTGAATGAAAAGGCAGAGTTTCACCTGTCGGGGAGGCTCCCCGCACGGGTAGGAAGCAGTTAAATCTTGTTTAGTATCTGTTTATAGACTGTGGAGCTGGGTCCACTCCAAGAGGTCAAAAAAGCCTTGTCCTCATCAGGTGCCTCAGCGAGCCTTTTTCTTCCCTGAGTTTGTTCTCATTGCTGAGTTTGTCTCTGTCGCCACCCCATGCGCTCCACATACACTCTGCTGAGATGGGAACCTCAATGCACCCTGAAACTCAGAAGACAATTCCCTGCCCCTGTGGTCTGCCTGCTGGGACCACGGCACCTCTCAGGCCTGGCTCACTTGCCTCCCGTCCTCCCTCCTGATTTCCACATGTGCCTTCACTGCAAGCCGCCTCTAACACAACCAGCAAACAAGGGGCTCACACTCGTCCATTGCACAGACTGGTTATCCAGGCAGGAGCCAGCCAGACCCTCTGTTCGGCTTGTCTTCTCTTCTTCCAACTGCCCTTCCTTCTTCACAACTTCGATTCCCGAGACACTGAGCAGGCAGCAGGGTTACTACTATTCAAACCAGTAGCTCTATGCTGGGTGAGTCCTGGCTGCTCCGCTTCCAATCCAGCTTTTGGATATCGCTCCTGGATAGACAGCAGAAAATGACCCAAGTGCTTGGGCCCCTGCCATGTTGGGAGACCAGGAGAGCATTCCAGCCTCCTGGCTTCATCTTGGCCCTGTCTTGGCCTTTGCAGACATTTGGGGAGTGAACCAGCAGATGGAAGACCTCTTTCTCTCTCCCTCCCAAACCTTCCCTCTCTCATTTGATGCTCTGCCTTTCAAATCAGTACATCTTCAAAAAACCTAGTAGCCCTAAATGGCTCACAACATTCAACACAGACTCGTGCAAATCAGAAGGTTCTGGAGGAGAGTTTGTTGAATGAGTAAGAGAAGAGAAGATCCGCAAAGGGAAGAGACTGGGTACTGCCCTGGAGTTTGCAGTCAGTCCACACTCACTGCTGAGCGCAACACTTCCTGACCTCAGGCACTGAGTCAGTTCTGCCTTTTCCTGTGAGCACTGTTAGGGGGGGCTCAGCCCCTCTGTCTGCTTCACTCTCCTGGGAGGAAAGCTGTGAATTCTGGAAGGCAAGGCTTGGCAAACTTTTCTTGGTGACAGAGCCACACAGTCAGCCCTTTAGTCCTTGTGGTCCCTGGCATCTCTGCCCCCGCCACAGCCCGGCCTCATAATCTTTGGGTTCTGTATTTGCCAATTAACTGGATCAAGCCTCACCCTACTCCCTACTGTCACCATTAGTCCATTAATTGTTAATATCAGACTTTTGGGCTTGAATATCTGCAAGAGTTTGGGTTAGGAAATCCTGTTCTAACAGTAGCACTGTCATATCTATCACTGCAGACATTTATCATATCTTCATGCTGGGACACCCAAAACCTTCCAGTAGCTATTCTGGACTGTTGTCCACCTTCATTAGCAACTGCATTGTGGCACAGTGGATTAAGCCTTTACGTGGGACACCTGTATCCCATATCAGAGTCTGTGGGAGTGAGTCCCACCTCTGCTTGCTTGCTTGCTTGCTTTCTTTCTTTCTTTTTTTTTTTTTTTTTTTGACAGGCAGAGTGGACAGTGAGAGAAAGAGAGACAGAGAGAAAGGTCTTCCTTTTCCATTGGTTTACCCTCCAATGGCCGCTGCGGCCAGCACGCTGTGGCCGGCGCACCGCGCTGATCCGATGGCAGGAGCCAGGTGCTTCTCCTGGTCTCCCATGGGGTGCAGGGCCCAAGCACTTGGGCCATCCTCCACTGCACTCCTGGGCCACAGCAGAGAGGTGGCCTGGAAGAGGGGCAACTGGGACAGAACCTGGTGCCCTGACCGGGACTAGAACCTGGGGTGCCGGTGCCACAGGTGGAGGATTAGCCTAGTGAGCTGCGATGCTGGCTAAGAAACTTAGATTTTGACAAGGAACCTGACAGAATCCTTATAGACATGACTGTGATACAATAAATGTGATATTTTGATATTGTATGATAAATCATGTCAAAGTTCAAAAGATTTATTTGACTCAGTGAAGTGATATTTTCTAGTTTTTAAAAGAATCATTCATGGGTAAAGTCTATTCTCAGTGAAAAGCAGATCAATGGATTTCCTGTAACAGAATTTAAAAACTTCATTTAGATTGTTACAGGTTCCACATTTGGAAATTAACTTTGAAGAAACTAGTACTTACTGGACTAGAACCCGGTGTGCTGGCGTCACAAAGCAGAGGATTAGCCTATTGAGCCACGGTGCTGGCCCCACCTCTGCTTTCAATCCAGCTTCCTGCTAATGTGCCTGGGTCCCTGTGAGTACTATGGGAGACACAGACGGAGTTCCTGACTCCTGGCTTCAACCTGACCCAGCCCCAGCTGTTGCGGGCATATGTGGAGTGAGCAGATAATTACTTTACAGCAATTTTGTTTTATATGTAGGTGGAGTAGGCTTTAAAATAACAATAGAAAGTAGAGTACATATATAAACCAGTTACCTTGTCTTTTACATTCAAGTGTTGTGTATGGTGCATAATTCTGCGTTAAACTTACAGGACTGGCAGCACGGAAGCTCTGCTTGCAGCCACCTCACCAAACACAGCTGAGTAATGTTTGTGCCGCACTGTTAGATGGTTACCATGGTGATGAGAATTTTCCAGCTCCATTATGATCTTACGGGACCACCAGCATCATATGGGCCCAGCTGTCCTGGTTACGAGGCACTTAACTGTCAGTGGAAGACAGAGAGAGAGCGCAGGCATTGGGGCACGGTGCCTTAAGCCTCTGCTTGAGATGTCCAATCCTATATCCTGTATCAGATGCCCTGGTTCGAGTCCTGGCTATTCCACACTTCCTATCCAGCATTCCTGCTAATACACCCAAGGAGGCAGCGCGTGATGGCTCAAGGCCTTGGGTCCTTACCACCGGTATGGGAAGACCCTGAGAGAGTTCCAGGCTCCTAGCTCAGCCTGGCCCAGCCTTGGCTGTCGTGGGCACTGGGGGAGTGAATTAGTATGTGAAAGGTTTCTCTCTCTCTGCCTTTCAAGTAGATGAAAATACATCAATAAACATTTAAAAAGACAAAGAAAGAAACCTGCAAACCCTGCAGGGCCACAGTGTAGGTTAAACCGAACAGCAAAATTGCCTGTGCCTCCCTCACCTCTTCCCCCACAGCCCCATTGAGCAGCTTGATCTCTTGACCCCTGGGGTGCCTGGGTGGCATCCAAGCCTCACTCACAGGGAGAGCAAGCAGACGGCAGCAAATCCCATTCCCCTCTACCCTTCTAGCCAGTTTCAGGGGCCCGGGAGTCCCTGCGAGGTACCTGGAGCATCAGCAGGGAGATCTACTAAAACTGTCGCCCCCTTTCTGTCGGCTGGCACCCCGCGGTTGAGAGTGGTAGGGAGGTGGCCCTGATCTAGGCGCAAGTGGGTCAGATCATTTCAGGCTGCTGGGGAGAGACTTCTCAGGTGTCACTGCTTACAAAAGAGGGAAGAAAACAGAAAACTGTTTACCTTTCCGACCTCCCAGATAACATCGCTCCAGCCTTTTCCTTTTGTTGCAGGTTGGGAGCATTCCTTGAAAGTTACCCAAGAAAAAAAGATTTTCTTAGGCACTTTTTTTCCACCTAGCAATCTGTGTTTTCATTCAAAACGGGAATATCCATGCTAATTTCCTCATCTGTAAAATGGAAGTGATTCGGATCCCAGCCTAGCTGGTCATTGAAAGCGGTCGACTACGTAGGAATGTCGCCTTTGTTATCAACATCTGAGACAGCATTGCTTTAAAAACTGTCATTTTTGTGGATCGCCTAAGAATGGAGGATGAAATCAAGTCAGCCCTTTTTTCCCGAGGAACCCAAAGCGCCTTCCAGACGCCGGCTCATTAATTTTTGCAGAGGAGAAAGGCGGCATTGACCAAGCCACAGCCTCCGACCTGACAGCTGGCGGAGACCTCAGACCGCAAAGCCAAGTGTAAGAATGACAAAGGAGAAGGAATTCCGCGTGCGGCTCTGCGGAGGCTGCAGCCGGCGCTCCCCCGACTCTGGAGCGTGCAGCGCGCGCAGGTGTGCCGAGGGACCCGCCCCGTCCAGGTCGCTGCCGGGCCAGCCCTGCGGGGCGCCTCCCGGGAGGCGCGGGGCGCGGCGAGCGCACAGTCACGTAGCCCAGAGCTGGGCCAGGTGGCGCGGCCCACCGACGACCAAGCCGGCTTTTTAAGAGGGCCAGCGTTTTATGATACTGGCGCCATCGAGGTCTTCTCTTTCTTTATTACAACTTTCTAGAAATTGATAGAAAGGGGGCGGGAGGATATGGCACACTTGAACACGGTACACTTTTCAAAGACAAATTCGCATAGTGAGAGATGTCAGGGTGCTCAGAGACCATGAATTTTCTCTTTCTCTTGTTTGGCCAAGAGAAAGATGCGCTAGGCTGCCCCAAGCCAGCCCCTGCTCCCTCTCTTCCCTCTTCCCTGCCCCCATCCCTCCAACTGGGGCTCTGTGCCCTTGGCTCACAAGGTCCTGTAGTTCTACTATTTTTATCTGGTGGTTTAGGACAGAAAGCAACCAATCACAAAAGCTGTCACTTCTGGCTCCCCCTTGCCCCCCAGTGGCCAGGGAGGTGGCTTGTTGATGGTGGTGGCCGGCAGCATTGCTCTCTGTTGCTCAACTTTTTGAGTCTGGTTTCTGACAACCCAAAGCTCAAGGTTAGTTTCTACCTCCATGGCAACTGCAAATCTGCACCTTCTTATTAGTGGCCTCTGGGGTCCTTTGTGATGAAATGATTCCACTTAGGGGCTGGAGTTGTGGCACAGAGGATTAGGGCCACCACCTGCAATACCACCATCCCCTGTGGGCCCATGTGAGTCCTGTTGGTACCCATCCAGCTCCCTGGTTCATTTAGTGATGCCTGGGAAAACAGTTAAAGATCGCCTGCACACTCATGTGGGAGACCTGGACGAAGCTCTTGGCTGCTCTTGGCTTTAGCCTGGCTCAGCCCAGGCCATTGCAGCCATTTTGGGAGTGAACCAGGAGATGGATATTCTCTCTCTCTCTCTCTCCCCCCTGTCTACCTTTCTCTGTGATCCTGCCTTTCAAAAAAATAAATAAACATTTTAAAAAAGAAAAATAAATGATTCCCCTGGGACTTTGGTAATCCCCCTAATCTGGGGTTTCCCATCCCATCATTTGGGCCCAAAATTTTTAATGGAAAGTCTCAGACCTAAGCAATTCATAATTTTTAGATTGCGTACTGTTCTAGGTAGCATGATGAACTCTTGCATCACTCTGCCCAGGAGGCGGATTGCATCTTTGCCAGGTGTATCCACACTGTATACGCTACCCACTTGTTAGTCACCGAGTAAACTTCTTGGCTCTCAGGTCCACTGGGGGTGGTATCCCAATGCCGTGCATGGGATTCAGTGTTCCCTGTAGTCTCAGGCAACCAGCAGGGGTCTTGGAGAGTAGCTGCCATGGACAAGTGGGGTCTACTGTCATTCTCTGGGGCCCCAGCTTCTGTTAGCAACAGAAATTGTTTTCAAAAGTTTGGCCATGGCATACAGCCTTCCGAAGAAGGGGCAATCAGAAGTGCAGAGTGTAATACAGCAACGCTGGCTGCTCTGTTTAAAACAGAGGTGTACAGGCTGGGGTTGTGGCATAGTTGGTAAATCCACAGCCTGTGACTCCAGCATCCCATGCAGGTACCAGTGCAGGTCCTGACTGTTCCACTTCCTATCCAGATCCCTGATAATGCACCCGGGGAAGCAACGGAAGATGGCCCAAGTGTTTGGGCCCCTGCTACCCACGTGGGAGACCCAGATGAAGCTCCTGGTTCCGGGCTTCAGCCTGGGCCAGCCCCAGCCATTGTGGCCATCTGAGGAGTGAACCAGAAGATGGATGATCTCTCTCTCTCTCTCTCTCATGTGTCTCCCTCCTGACTTTCAATTAAATAAATAAATAAATAAATAAAAAATAAATAAAACAGGACACCAAGGGTCCTGGCAGGGGGGAGGCTCAGTTTGCAAAGCACCATCTTTCAGGGTAAAGCTGAGGCTGTTTAGCCTGCTCCCAAACACCTTTTGCAAGCTGACTGCAAACATTCCCCACCCTCTGCTGCCAGTCCCCAGCCCACACCCCTCAGGGATATCCCGCCGCATTCCCACAAGGTGACTTTCGGCCCCTGCTCTGTTCCAGGTTGCACCCTTCAGGACTCTGCTTACATGTCACCTCTGTCATTCCTTCCTCAGTATTTCACACCCACCTCCAATTCAGCACCAAGTCACATTGCTATTTGAGGTCAGTTTCCCAAACCAGACCCTGAGTCCCTTCAAAACAGGATGCAAATCTCATTCTTGCGATGCTGAGCTGGTATTTAAAGAACACACACGCTGGAGGCTGGGAATAGAGTTAAGAGAGGAAGCATTGCAAAGGAAAGGCAGGCAATGAATAAGATTAAACAAGTGGAAGGTGTAGCAGGTTACAGATGGGAACCTGGAGAACAGGGTGGTGGTGGTGGTTGGGGGGGCAGTTGAAGAATGTGTTCACTGAATGAGGCAGGAGTATCCCAACTGAGGTGGGCTGGTCTGTTTGAAGGCCACACACACACACAAGCTGTGGCCTGGGCGGAAGTGTGGATCCCTGGGGAGTGTGTAAGTGGAGAAAAGTGGTCAGGTTCTGGATGTATTTTAAAGGGAAAGGTGACAGCATTTGCTAACGGACTGGAGGTGAGCTGTGAGACACAGGAAAGGATTCCAAGATGACTTCCAGGTTTTCGGCCTTAGCAGCTGGGAGGAGGAGGAGGGAGTGGCCATGGAGTGGGATGCAGAAGGCGGCAGGAGATGCTAGCTTGGGAAATGCACACTGGCCATGTTAAGGCCACTGTTGCTGTGGGAATGCTTGGTGTGGTCTGCTGGGCATGAACTAGGTGCTCAATAAACCACTGACTAAATGAACCAATCTATCAAAGCACAAGTATATTAAATCGGGAACCCAGGATATCATTTAAAAAAGAAAATCCGAACTGCTGCCTTTGACAAGACCTCTGACACCAGCCATGCTTGCATATAAATTAGAGGCGCTGGAATTGGGGATTTAAACATATGTATCCAGTGACCAGTGTTGTGGTACAGCAGCTTAAGCCACCGTTTTCAAAACCAGCATGTCATATCTGTGTCTTGGTTACTCAGCTTTGGTTACTCCGCTTCCAATCCAGCTTCCTGCTAAGGTGCCTGGGAAGGCAATGAAAGATGGCCCAAGTCTGTGGCCCCCTATCACCCACATGGTAGACCAGGATGGAGCATCTGGCTCCTCACTTCGCCATGGACAAGACCTGGCCATTCAGGGAGTGGCCATTCAGGGAGTGGCCCGGCTGAAAAGTCATCTCTGTCTCTCCTTCCCGCTCTGTCATTCTGCCTTTCAATTAAATAAATAGAAAAATAATTTTTTAATGTATCCTATATGTCCATGTAGTGAAAGTGTTCCTCCTAGATGGGACATCTTCATGTCAGTGGCATGTTCACATTGCTTATTTCCTGAAAGGACATGGCCTGGGTTTCTGGAAACTCCCTCGACTATGGGTCAACACAGCACCATTTGAAGGGCAACATGATAGGGCAGGCTTATTACTGTCTGTTGATGGCTTTGTAAGCAATCTGCAGATTTATTTTATTTATTTGAAAGGCAGAGTGACAGACAGAGAGGGAGAAACAGAGAGAAAGGTCTTCTATCTGCCTTTCTACTCTCCAAATGGCCTGAACTGCCAGGGTTGGGCCAGGCTGAAGCCAGGAGCCAAGAGCTTCATCCGGGCCTCCCACACGGGTGGCAGTCTTAAGTTCTTGGGCCATCTTCCAGGGCTTTCCCAGGTACATGAACAGGCAGCTGGATCAGAAGCAGAGCAGCCAGCGCTGATATGGGATGCAGCAGCATAACCTGCTCTGCCACAGTGCTGGCCCCAAACAATACGCTTTTGATGTGCTCTGTCTGATGGAAGTCCTCTTTCCCTACCACTGGCTGCTGGTTCAGCCCTGGGGAATGGGGCCGCTGGGTTAACAGGGTTCCCAAAGGACCAAAAGAAGCACTCAAACCAAGAGATTGAGCAGACTCAGCAGAGATAGAATGAAAGTTCCATTTCAGGAAGCCAAGAGGTGAATAGGACCTTTGCAGAAGTCAGAGACTACTGGGGGCTCTTTGACACTGGGACACAGAACGAAGATTCTGGGGCGCGTGGAACACAGTGCCAGCCAGAATGCATCTTGGTTTCCCCAGCTTGGCGTTACAGTGCGTGAGCTTACTATGAAGTAGAGGGCTCTCGAGGGAGGAAAACTGGGCAGCTCTTCTTCAACTTTCCTTGCCTTCTCTATCATTTCCTGCCAGCTCCCTGCCGCCCCCGTGTTAGTCCCGTCAATAGACTGGCAAGGCTGATTACTCATGCATTACTTACGGGGCATGCTGGTGGTGTTGGAGCCGGCTTAGGCAGCTGTGAAAACC